ATACGTCCAAATAACACACCGCTGTTAAGTAGAGTCCAATTTAATTTAACTTTCATAACGTAATCACACACGTGAAAACAAAAGTGCGCGCGAGAAAGCAAAAGAACAATAATCTATACGTTTATATCCGTCGTTGCCTCGGAAATCTGATTATCGGTGTCGCTCGCAGGAGGACAGACAGGTAACATTAATTAAAGTCATCGGCGCGGCGAGATCGATGGTAGAGGAAAAGCGCAAACAGCCTGTAATCCGGGACACGTTTCTTCATTCATTATCGATAATTTCTGAAACGAAACAACGCCATTAAGCTCGATAAAAGAGCGAGCTCGCGTTCGCAAGTTAAAGGATCGCGATGCGCTTGAAAGATGGGGCACCCGGTTTTAAAATTGTAGGGAGCGGACGTAGCCGATGTATTCGCGATATAAACGCTGATCGATCAGCTGGCCGGTGCATTTAATCGATAGTTCAATAATTATTAACCTGGGGTGGAGGCCGGGGGAAGGAGTGGGGGGGGGGGGGATCCTCTTCGCAAGATTGCCCGCTTTTACGAATTCCCGATCCCGATAGTTGTTTTGTTTTCTCCTTTCTTCGTGACTTATAAATTGCCTGTCTCTAACGATCTCTTTCAGATGAACAGCTCATTAACGACGCGTATAAATTATTCCAACGATATTTCAACGATATCGGGCCCGATCGGGCCCGATCCGATGGGTCCACCTCTGTCGATCGTCCCCTCGTAAACGAACTCCCGTTCTCGTCCGAGCTTCGATTTATCGACGATACGACGGTTCGTTCGGCTCTAACGTCTGCACGGGAAATCGCTGCTCGCCTATAATAATGTATCAATTTCCACTCAGTTTCCCAGTAAATCGCCCCGGTTCAGATTCTTACACCGTGTCAGATCACCGATTTTTATGTTTCATGGGACGATTTTATGCTCTTTCTGTCGGTTTCAATAAGCCCTCGCGGCTCGTGCAATTGCGAGAGTAACTTGGCGACAACAAAAGGACTGTTTGTAAAATAACTGTTTGTGAATCGTTAGAATATTTATTTTCGACGGTTCGAATTTTAAACCTCTTCATATATTTAGCAAACATCTGTTAAACGAGCGGATTAAACAAATGGGATCCATTGTATTTCTATTAAAATTAAAATAACTGTTTCAACAACACGTAATATCAATCGATATCGTCAAAATTAGATATCAATCAGATATCACCGTTTCATCTTACTCTCTATGTTTCTATGATAAAAGCACTAAGGTTTAGTGAACCGATCGACCCTTTTTTAATTGACGAGACCTCCTGGACCAATCACGCAATATTCTATACACGTGGTCCACAGGCGTCTCATAAGAAAGCAGAAAGAAAGATAAAAGGATACGACGGCCGTGCACAGATAACGTGCGCGTTATTAATTACTACGGTTCGGCTGTTCGCAATTAGCGTTGGATCAGTTTCGGCTAATTACATCGAGCCGAGTGTCGTCATTAATTACTCGCCATCGCGTTCGTCGAATTCATTTACAATGGCTTTCCCTGAAACGTTGCTCCGACATCCTTCCAGCATGTTGCAAATTATGTTACACGACCCTCCATGTTCGTTAAAATATTCTCCTCGCGAGAAGATTCTATATTCTATATATTATTTATATACATATATTCTATGTATCATTTGCCGAAACAGTTCGTCAGAATATATATATATATATAGATAATATATAGATATATATGATATATTCAGAATATAGATGATATAGATAGTATATAGATTTATATGAATATAGATAATATATAGATATATATGATATATTCAGAATACAGATGATATAGATAGTATACAGATTTATATGAATATAGATAATATATAGATATATATGATATATTCAGAATATAGATAATATACAGATATATATTCAGAATATAGATATATATATAGATATATATTCTGGCGAACTGTTTCGACAAATGATATATTTAGGGATTGTTAGAAATTCTATGGTTCATGATTATATGTTTGATGAACCTTTCGGGAAATGATTAACTCTGCTTTTGCACGCGCTCGCTCCTTGTATCTTTGATACATGCTTGATAAATTTTCAAATTTAGCGTAAGTATCTTATACAAACACACATGTATATATATAAGAAAGAAAAAATATATATAAGAACACACACACACACACATATATATATATATATAGCGTAAGTATCTTACACACACACACACACATATATATATATAAGAAAAAAAATATATAAATATATAATTCTATAGTTCATGATTATATGTATAATAAACCTTTTGGGAAATAATTAACTTTGCTTTTGCACGCTCCTTGTATCCTCTTGACACATGCTTGATAAATTTTCAAATTTAGCGGAAGTATCTTATATACATACTTAGATATATATATATATAAAATATGTAAATATTTATATATTTTATATATATTATATATAAATAATTATATATATATATATATATATAAGAAAAAACACTTTCGACTTATTTTCACAGATAAAATAATTCGTTCGTCACGTTATTTGCCTCTGACCAGTTCCAAAAAATCAACTGAATTCAGCCAGCTTCGAGTCGACTCGACAAAACCGAGCTTAACAAAATAAAAATATTCTGTTCTTTCTGTTCGTTTCACGTTACTCGCTCCTTGTTATCGCCAATACCTAGGATGTACCCCCCCCCCCCCCCCGGAATAATACCATAAATACACAACACCACCGACTGTTTCTCTATTTGAGTTTCTCGTCGCACGCAAATGAGCGAGGCAGCGGGGAACACGCCCCCCGCCCCCCCGCCCCCCACTTGTGGGAGGGAAAAAAGTGGATTCGAAGCGGCGCGGGAATAGTCAGAGCGGAGAGAAAGTATTCGTCGTAGGGCAAAAAGCCGGCATCGACATGTCGATCGAAAGAAGTGTCGCTAATTTGATGTAGCCGGTGTATACGGCGGATCGTATGGCGGAGTGGTTTGGTCACTTGTGAGTTGATTTATACCGGTGGGCAAGAACCTCGTGGCAAAAGCTCGTTGCCTTGCTCATTGCGTTCACCGCTTGTCTCTGCTCTCTTTCTCTCTTTCTCTCTCTTCTTTCTTCTTCTCTTTCACCGTGCTCACTTTGAACAATGGAATTGCGTCGCGACGTCAATCTCTCTGTATTATTCACCTCGCCCCTGCTCTCCTTTATACCCTTAGCTGCGTGTTCCCCGTTCATTCGCTACCTTTTCTGTCCTCCTTCTCCTCGACTTTTTATTTTTTCAATTTTTGTCGCTTCGTTTTCTCTCTCGTCTTTTTTATTTTTTTTTTGTTCCAAGTCCGGAATAAATCGAGAGCCGAAGGATCGTTTAAACGCCTCTGACTCCTCGAGACTTTCTTCTAATTTCACGGATATTAACAGTGCCGGGCTCTCGTGTCTATATCGATAAATAGACACAGTGACTTTTCATTAATATCCGCTGAATATCGAAACTGTTATGATTTTGTGGAGAAAAAAAAAGAAAAAAAGAAAGAATCGTACGGAACAATGAACCTGGGTTCGTTTCAATGTTTGAACACTTTACTTTCAAAATCTATGTTCATTTTATTCCAAAGTGTTTTCACACCGTGTAAAGTGAAGGGCGGCAAGGTGAAGACACTTCTCTTCTCAAAAATTGTCAAATCAAGTTGTAAAAACATTAAGAAAGTTTCCTCGTGACTGAATCTATTGTGAGTTTGAAGATTAAAACTTTTCCTTTACGAGAACCTGACGTATGTGTTATTTTCACTTTATTCAACCTTGGGTGTTAGGCTCTGATAACGAAAATTCAAAAAATTTTCGCTTGAAACTTGAGGCTCGATAAATTGACCAAAAGAAAATCATACAGTAAGCTAATCGTTGCAAAGACAAAACTTTAAATCTTCAAATTCATGGTAGATTCAATGGAAAAAATTTTACACACCATATTTTGTCATTTGCTACATAAATAATATACGATACGCAGTTAAAAATAGCTGCTTCGAGCTTTGAAGCTTATCAATTTATTAACTTATTAATTGGGAGTCACTGTGGCTGTTTTCGAGGGCTGATTTGAACGATGTTTCTTCATTCGAGCAAGTTGAACGAGATCGTAAAGTTGGTTTTGGAAAGTTTGGAGCCAGTGAAAGAGGATAGGAGCGAGTAGTGAAATAAATTGAGTTAAGAAATAGTAGACAGAGTTTGATAATCTTTGAGGAACGTGTTTCCTGTAACACGTTTGAAACGTGTTCTACTAGCTTAATCTACTTGCAAGAGGCATTACGAAAGAGAAGAAGAAAAGTAAATCTGACGAATATATAATTCCAAATATAGAGAAGGTATTACATGTGGATGAATTTGAATAACTCAAGTTTACTAAATTATTGAGTAAGTTAATAATTCAAGTATTTTTGAAAATTTCTCTCAGCTTCTAAGTTTCATTTTCAATGTGAATATTTCAATTATTCACAATTTCTAGATTATGTAACTTGCCAGTAAATTAGAGCAATAATTATTATAATTATTAACATGTCCTAGTGACTGTGGAGATGTGTTCATAAATTTCGACCAATATATTTTCCATATATTCTACAAATCTATATATATATATATATATATATATTTTTTTTTTGTTGAAAAAAGCGTGGAATAAAAAATGACTTTACCATAAGATACTGTTAAAATAAGAATAACTCGTCGCTAAACGCCACCGGGATTAGTATTATCCCAACTGTGACAACGGAAGAAATAATCTTTACGTAATATCCTTTCATTTCATTTTTCATGACAATAATGACCCAAAAGTAAAAATCAGTCACAATATCGTGCTGAAGGATTAATTATAGAAATAGTAAACAGAGTCTGATAATTCTCTTTTGGCCTTAAATTAACTTGTAAGAAAAATACCTGACGAATATATGATTCCAAGTGGAAATATTACGTAATAAATATGTAGAAATGGGAACTGTTTCTCTTAATAATTGTAAATCATCTTACCTGTCTGTCCAACAGAGAGCGTCATCTCGATACCTAGAACAGAAAAAATTTGTTAATTTCTCGATTACATAATTTTTACACAAAGCATCGTAATAGTAATAAATTCAATGAAAATAAAAATTGTGACAAATCGCTAGACGTTGAGTTCAAAAAATTCGAAATATGATAAATGAGTGTTAAAATACAATAATTAATGTGAAATAAGGCAATAAAAGAAATTGGAATATATCTTGAGGAGTAATTCATTCAAAATGAACAAGTGCTCCCTATGAGTTATGGATATTACATACGTAATTATAAGCTAGCAATTCAATCTATAATTCATCTGATACGATTTCTATAATTACTTCAAAGCATCCTGGATAATATCACATAGAAAAAAGATTCAAGAAACTTAAAAATAAAATTCATATAAGTAATGATGATTGTAACAATACCGATTGTATTCATTTTTTATGGCGATTGATACGATTTCTATAATTCCTACAAAGCATCCCATAAAGAAGTAGTTAAAGAAGAAACTTGAAACGAAAATTCACATAAACGATGATTTAAAATCTTATTTTCTTGGAGGGACGTAACAATATTAATTAATTGTTGCATACATAATTGTAACATAATACAATACAATACAATATAATACAATACAATACAATACAATACAGTACAATATAGTACAATACAGTACAATACAGTACAATATAGTACAATATAATATAATATAATATAATATAATATAATATAATATAATATAATATAATATAATATAATATAATATAATATAATATA